ATAGTAATGATATATATATATATATATATATATATATATATATATATATATGTTGCCTTCACTTCATTTTAATTCAACTTACTTAAGTTTAATTACACAGGTTGATTTGGTTACCATGCTAGAAAAAGCCATCAGCTATGTGAAGTTTCTACAGTTGCAAGTGAAGGTAATAAATAATAGTTCAACTGGATTTCATGGACAAGCCGGGTCGTCTTATACAGCTATATAGCCATACACATAATTAAGACGACGTTTGTTCTTGGCACAGGTCTTAGCTACGGATGAATTCTGGCCAGAACAAGGCGGAAAAGCTCCTGAGGTTGGTCAAGTGAAGGAAGCCATTGATGCAATTCTCTCATCCCACAAGGACCAAAAATCAAGTTCAAAGTGAAAGATCCACCAGGCAAAAGAACATATGAAGAAGAAGAAGAAGTCGAATAAAAAAGAAGAAAAGGCTGAAAAGTGAATGAGAAAAGTTGTTATGTACACCACTTAGACTGGCGAAGGAAAAAATAAAAAGCTGTTCTTTGGAAGTTAGTGTGCTAGAAGGAAAGAAAAGGTTCTGTATGGATTTTATTCTTTATTTTTCTGCTCTTCTTGTGGAGCTCTATTGTGGCTCGGCATTATTACCGTTTCATATTGAGAATCGAGACTGAAATCAATTTCATGTTTGTTCTCATTCTTAAATTCAATTTATCTTGAAAATTTGAGTTCCTCTTGGTATATCTTTGAAGCTTTGATCCTTTCCTGAGAAGAATGTTTTCTCTCATAGTTCCATCAACTGTAGACGACCTTGACTCCTAGCTCCCCACATCATACGTTTACAATATAAGGAAATGTTAAAGTTAACTGGGGGAGATGGGAGGTGGTTGTGGTTTCCATATTTGACAGACGTGTTGTCTCACTGGAGTGAGTTGTATTTCATCTAAAATATCAAGGAGACTCAACTGATGCAAGAGCTGTGCTAGAGGGGTTTAAGTTGAAATTGGACCAACTTCATATTAATTTTGTTTTATGTTTCCAGCATCTCTGTTAAACTAATGGCTCACTTCTGTTCATTGATTAAGTCAGGGTCCCTACAATAATTGGATCATAAAACCAACCTAGTCTCAATATATACCTAGACTAGTTAAGAATGTGAAACAATAGTCTTCCAAAGCAGCCTTGTGAAGTCAGTTATCTGGCCTAAACGAAAGGGTATAAGACTAAGAGATAATAGTGATGGACTGGGACCCAATCAGATCGATCAGGCCATGGGTTATTAGCTCTAGATGGTTCAACCTGTGTATTTCTTTATCAAAGGAAGTGAAAAAAACAAACTAGTGTACGTGTATTTGTTTGCTTATATAAAAAATGTATTTGTTGGACTTGTATATTTAGCAAAACCTAATTATATGGCCTAGGTCCGAGTCTTGCATGATAAAATGGGTTTAGGAGCTGACCCGATGCATCCCATGCTTTGTAGTTTGTAACCCATCACAAGAAATTTAGCTCTTACTCTCCTTCTCTGCCCATTTCATGGAAGTTTCATCTCTCTCACTCTCACTCTCCCTCCCTCCCTCTGTGTGTGTGTGTGTGCCTGCCTTAATTAAGGATCACATGGCTACTCACATGCTCAATCCCATCCAGAGCTGACTACATCACTACATTCCCAATGCTAATTAACTCAAAATTCAAACAAATGAACCTACTATTAATACTGATTAATAGCATATAAAATTAAAACAAATGAACCCTACCGAATGTCATAAAATAAATGCTAGACAAACCAACCCATGCTCGTATAGGACGACCAAGCATCAAATTATTTTGGATAAGAAATCACTGCTCAGTGATCAATTTCTCATTAAATAATAAAATACAACACAATCCACTTGACTATATATGTTCTAATTAATTAAAGTCCCCACCATATTAAATGCTTTTTGAGATTCGAGGGTTCTGAATCCCCAACAGAGAACTTCTTCACATTTGTTTAACATGTGTTTTCTTTTTCTTTCATTTAATTTGTAATTGTTTAGTGTGTTGATTCATTCGCTTGACGCTTGATTTCAGTTATGTAAATGTATCTGCTTGTGTGGAATTCCATTCAGACAAAAGAAATAATTAACGAGAGGACTGCATGTCTGTAAAACAGCCAAAAGCATTCAAATTCTCATGTTTCTCTTGTAGGGTAAGCAAGATTAGTTTATGGGAGAATGATTCATACCCTGTATACTTAACTATCTTCACCAGCAATATTAGATTTGGGGTTCTCTCTTGCTAGCAGCTGATTAAATTTCAGATTGCCCTGGTTTGCTTGCTATGCAATTTCATCATGTGTAATGGTGCAAATGATTTGAGTGTAAATTTTGGTTTATTTTTGTTTCAGCTTCTACTTTTATTTTATTTGACTGCAGTGTAGATGATCAAGTACAATAAAACCAAAATCAGGAGATAAACGATTGGAAGTTGAATTATATATATATATATATACTTCTTTCTGATGTTTTAGGTAGTGAGTTTTCAATTGCACTCTTACATATTTGTACTAGTGCAAATGAAACTATGCACTGCAAACAAAGGATCTCTTTAACCCTAAACGAAGACTATAAGCCTAATGCTATCTAGAAGATTACATTTTACACCGAGACTTAGCCACGACCTTGTTAGCGGTATTGATCACTTTAATTAATTACTATTTATTACATGGTATTCAATTTAATAATTTTCTCCATTGTTCATTTTACTCGTCAGTGCTTAGGTTCAAGTTTTCAGCAAAACTGAAGCCTGAATGAATGAAGCAGACAGCCATTGTGATCAATAGGGAGGAACCACTCGATCAATTAATGATCAATTCGATATATGCATGCTTTCAAATTTGAACTTCTCAGGATCAAAGCTCGATCGGAACTCTATCAACGTAACTCAATTAGCCTTTGAGTTGACTCAGCTAGCTAATGAACTCTCTATTTTCCTTCTTTATTTGGCAATTACCTAACTGGTTATTAAAATTAATTTTGATGCATCGTGTATTAATGGGGATTGCTCAGTTGCTTGTATTGCTAGGGACCACCTGGGTCATATCCTATATTTCAAAGCCTACAAGTTAGGTAAAACTACATTTAATGTTACTGAAGCGTGGATAGTGTAATCTTAGTCTTAACTTTTCTCAAACAGGTACATCATCATCTAAGGAGATTCAAAGTTAGCTATTGAGTGTCTGAAGAAGAGCTACAATCCCCCATTGAGAGTATGCCCAATTATTGAAGATTGCTACATTTTAAGAGAAAAATTAGATGGAACCATTGAGTATCATTACATCTACAGATAAGGAAATATGGCTGCAAAATGGCTAACTAACTATACACACACAAACGATGTTTCTCTCAGTTCCATCCCTATTCCTCTAAATGTAATTGCTTGTTTTGAATTTTGAGGACCTACTACCCCGTTCTGTGTAACCCCATTCTGGCGCCTGAAGAATCACCGTATCAATTGAATTAACTGAACATAGTAGAATTTTTCAATTAAGTTGCTCAATTCGGAATAGATTCGAGTCTTGGTGTTTGAAAACACACAATGGTTGTATGGCTTTGATCGCAATGACACAGCATTTAAGGCAGCAATTAATGAGTCCTACTTGTGCTGTAAACAATGCTTTAAGAATTAATTAAGCTGTTTGACAGATGTCAGCTGGAACCTGGAAGTTAAGACAAGCTGTTAAGCCCTGTGATGGCACATGCATGATTGAAGGTCATGTGATGCGAGCCCAGGGAATGACAGGGTGGGTTGGGTTACTGTGCACTGATTGGGCCCAACCCAACTGACTAGATATTGATAACGGTGCAACTTGGGCTGGGTTAATCTCAACCCAACTTACCTGGATCAGATTGAAATTCAGTTCCGGGTTGGAACCCGGATTAATTCGGGTTAGGTTAGGGTTTACTTGGCCAATCCGACCCAACCCAAAAAAGTCAAGTTGGGCCGGATCAGATTAAAATTCAGATCAGGAATAAAATTGAAAAATATGAACTCGGCTTAAATTCGGGTTAGTTTAGGGTTGAGGTATCGCCAAATCCGACCCAACATTTCTTCATATTTATATGTCTAAATATTATATATCCATCTATTTATCAGCAATTTTAATTTTGAAGGCAAAGTTTTACACTGATATAATTAAGTATTGTACTCCTAAAATATCATGATTTTGTACTCGTATATATAATAATACAAAAACCCTTGAACCTTAATTTGAATAGTTTGATCGTCCTTTCCAAATGGGCGACCTGCTTTGAAAAAAATAAATAAATAAAATTTTTAATTTCAAAAAACAGCCAAAAATCGTTTCTGGGTCAAATAATTTGACAGTTCAACCATCCGAATCAATAGTTCGTTGACTAAATCAAAAGTTTTTGGCCAAAAAAATAGTTTTAAGGTAAAATAGAACCAATTAAGTGACCGATTTTTTATTTTTCCAGTCCAATTGTCCGATCCAATCTGGTTTTAAAAACATTGAATAAAATAATCAAAGCCTTAATAAGAATAAGGTTGTAGTATAGGTGAAGTCACATGACTACATGAGTTCCTATATTGTATACATAATAGTATATATATTGGACGTACAAATTATTAATCTAAGTGGCATTTTAGGATATTCTTGGAGATCCTCAGCCTACATATTTTTTTATCATTTACCCTAGAATTTAAATCGAAAAATTCATCAAAGATTAGTATTTTTCTGAATTTTAGTCTTAATAATCACTTATGAAGTACAACAAATTAATTAACTTCATGTATTAATGCAGAAGATGCAAGGTTGCTAAGTTCACAAAGTTTGAGGATGTCGTCGCCCGCTTT